TATAAAAATGGCATGCATGGATGGAATAATAAATGTTTTCAAAAATTTGTTCACCGAAATTGTGAGATTTAAAAGTGGGGTATATATAAAAATTTAATAGGCTAGAGATTCTATTTCGTTGACAACATCTTCCGTTAAAATATGTAAATCTTTGGCATGTATTACAAATTATACCACAAGCCACTTCTACTCCAAACGTTCTGTCAATAAAAAGTCTCTAATATTCCAATAATCCCCCCTTTAACAAATTATCATTGATAGGATAATATTATTGAAAGTTTAAACAAAATACCGAAGATAACTGAATTTATTAATGCCAATTTATGTTGCTTTTCACGCTCCTCTACGACAATGTCAAAGCCGTGTCAAGTGGTTGGAATATTTTGCAATAAAACACTAAAATAAGGGTGCGAAAAATGTGTGCAATTCTTACATGTTTCAACTGGTGGCATGTAAATTAGACATGAAAAAAAGTCCCGCCGATGAAGATGAATGGATTGGGAAAAGGGCGTGTTTTTGTTTTTGCCACAAAACAATTCTAATGTGCTTCATGTTTCACTTCCATTTTTTTAATATATGCGGTGGAAATAACTCAAATTCCAAAGTGCTTAGAAGTACTTTAACTTGTCAGAATGTCAGTTTAGCAGCGAGCGTTATATCCTTTAACAATGAAGAAGGAAAGCAAAAAAAACAGCAACAAAAAAGACGAAGGGTGTTAGCAACATCGAGACTGATAAAAGGGACATTAGCCCAGGATGGATTGCAAAGATGCAGGATTCTGTAGTTAAACAAATATCAATGGATACAACAACAACAAACACCCACCCGTCCAAGACACAAAATTCCAACAGCAAAGAGAAATGAGCAGGCGGCGAGACAAGCATACCAAGAAATTTGTTAATAGTGGCACTTTTCCTTGAGCTGGGGTATCTGCTCGGCAGTATTAAAGATGTGTCACAGCTTTGCTATGCTTACAAGAAATTTATTTATTTTTTTTTTTTTCAAAAAATGTCCCTACATTTTCTCCTTGTCGTAACTAGAGCTTGCTAATATTAACAATCCACCAATGGATATCACATCGCAACCCATAAAATATTTTAAAGAAGGAACAAAAAACAATAAGAACTGTTGACAGCGTAAATACCAAACAAAGTAGATAAAAAATACTTTAATAGCTAATATAGCCTTAAGTCTTCCTTGTGCCCGGTATTTTGAAGAGGTGGTTTTCCGCAAAATAAATTGTGAAGTTTTTTTTTTCTTCAAAGGAAATTACTTCCTTCCTGTTACAAACCAAAGAAACACAATTATTTGTTTGCAATGGTTATTTTTTGTCAAAGCGTTTAAAGGCCAGGGTGAGTTTGATTGAAAAAAAAAAACAAATATATACATATTTCATCACAATTTCGGTTAGAAATAAAAATCTCTAAAGAAATGTAAGAAAATAATGTCTCTAATGAGGATTATATAATTTTTGTTTAAAGATATTTTATTTCTTATTGGACTATTTTTATTTCTGTTGTGTTAAATACTTTTGTTTTCACTAGAAATTCGTTTACGTTATGTTTAATGGACAATGAGTCCATTATCCATTTTCTTTAAAGTCTGGTCACTGTCAAAAAGGGGAGGATGTGCTTTTTTGGTTATGTTTTTATTTTATGGTTTAAATTGTCAATTAATTTGTAAACCAACCAAACAAGCAACCAAAAAACTCAAGGGGAAATTCTTTGGCACGGACTGTCGTTGTAATCTATCAGCCCGAGGACATTATAAACAAGATTAAGAACTTCTTGATTGGTGATGGACGAAATAAATTGTTTGACCTTCTGCGCATATAGAACAATATTTTGGGGAGGGTCAAATAGGTGGAGCTTAATAAAGTTATCTGCTGGAATTTGAAAAGCTAACAATAATATTGATTTAAAGATTGATTGTTATGTGTGGTTAATGCCACATATTTGTGACGTACTCAAAATAATAACTGGATTTCGTTTGTCAAATCAAAGAAGCTTAACAAAGATGACATATGAATTTAAGGATGAAATCAGTTTGATGAAAGTCATATCAGATAATTAATTTTCCAGATTGTGAAGGAGGTAACTGTGATGATGGACCTATATAACCTATATAATTTGACAAATCTATATTCAGTTTAGATCACACACGAATTACTATTCGTTTTATGTATGTTGTCCACCTGTAGAAAGATACCCGGAGAAGTTGCCAGAAGTTGCTTTTTTGTAATTAAAAAATCCTTCAAGCAGGCATGATTCCGACGGCTGAAACATTTAAAAAGATCAGATATTTAAAAAGATCACACGATAAACTGTCACATTGTCTGAATTCTCGTTCAGTATTGAATGGCTCGGAGTGGTCCTTTTCGACTTTAGCTGCTAACCTTGCAGGAATGCCGAACACAGACATGACTTTAAACATCTTCGAGCGCAAAGGGATGTCGAATACGGCTTTATATTCGACGAATAGGTGGAATGACTTGATGTGTTTTTAATGGGTCAGATGGTTAATCTGGTCTATAGTTGATTTGCCGTATTGATATGATCCAATAATATCATTGACCATTGGCTGCAGTCGTTCACACAGCACGCTGGATAACACGTTATATGCGATGGGAAGGAAAATTATTTTTGTATAGTTGACAGACATCGTTTTGTCCCCTTTTAGACATGCATACCTTTAGACTGATTGTACTAATCTGTTGATGCTTCTGACCACCGGTCTTGAATAGTTCGACTTGTAACCCTTGCCACCTGTCGACCTCATCTTGGTTAGGTGGTATACAATATATACCATCATCTCTTATTGGTTCTGCGGCATTTTTTTCACTGCTACTATTTGGTACCAGAAGCTGTGCAAAATGCTCCTTCCAGATCCTCAACACGCTATCTGGATCTGCCACCGGGTTTCTTTCTTCGTCTCTACGGGAGGATGTGCGAAGTCAATCGACTCAATGTTGTTGTCAGATGTTTCTTCATGGAGGCTGAATTTTTCGTCGGTGGGGCCGAACAAATGTTTCACCCCAATTCTAGTAGAAATTTAATGTCATGTCCAGGGCAGCAGTCGTGTGCTGTTTCTAGGCGCTCTTAGAATATGTCTTTGGTCTGCTCATATTCTTCTTTTGCCGGATCATGGGCGCAAATGAGGCTGATTGAGAATAAAATCGCTTTCCTGTAAAGCAATTAATCGGCTTTGTACTACATGAGTACATCCGCCAAAGCAAAAATTGCGTCAGTTCTGAACAAAGTGCGCAAATTCCAAGTGCAGATACGTCGATCATGGTCCTTTATAAGTTTGCGGGAGTCGTCAACATTAGGGGAGTTTGGTTTTCTTTTTCGTTGCTTTCTCATAGGGGGTTTCCGAGTGTGGGCAACTAACCCGACGCTCAATCCATTTTCATAGTTCTTATGGTTGAACTCGCGGCATATATCAGCTCACTATTTCAACGGGCAATTAAAATAGTTACCCCAGGTGACACCGCGGGGAGGTCAATGTCCATGATTGAGATAAAAAAGGGACCAAGATAAGCCTGGGCTTTGTCATGTTAAAGCCAATCAAAGCCACACCTTACGTTACCTCAATTTAATACGCTATGCATAATTCCGTGTAAATAGAAAGAAATATAGGGACTCTGAAGCATCAATTATATAAGATCGGCCGAAAATATATGTGGGAGTTATACCTAAATCTGAATCGATTGCAACGTAACTTAACACACGCTATTCTATTCTTATAGCATGCGTTATTCCAAATTTCTTCTCTATCGGACTTACTTTGGGAGTTTACCTAAAACCGGCCAAATATATATGCATGAGAGCTATATCTAAATCTGAACCGATTTCAACGAAACTTAACACACATCAATCTGGACTCAAAACATGCAACATTTTGTGTAAATCGAATGAAATGTATGGACTTTGGTACACCATTTATATAAAATCTGAAACGACTTCAACGAAACTTAAGACACGTTATTTTTTATTAGGGTATTTTTTCTCAATCGGACTAACTTTGGGAGTTTGGTGGACCATTTACCTAAAATGGGCCGAAAATATATATGGGAGTTATATCTAAATCTTAACCAATTTTAACGAAACTTTACACACTTTATAGTCCCAATTTAGTACGCTACGCAAAAAGTCGTTTCAATCAAACAAACTTTGGGAGTTTGGTTGACCATATACCCAAAATCGTCCGAAAATAAGTGTGGGTGCTATATCTAAATCTGAACTGATTTTTTTCCAATTTGTCTTTGGGTCTAATAAATGAGCTGTGTCAAATTGCATCTGATTCTGTAACACATATCCCAATTATATCTCGAGTCCTTCTACATCTTCTTCGTCCTTATGAACCGTAAACTACTACCACTAGACGAAATTTTTTACCTACACATATTTTACAAAAATGACGCTCATATGTTCATATATAGGACCCTCAAAGACAAGAAATCGAAATTTGTAAATGTGTATTTAATTGCTTCTTTTGCCCGAACCGTGCTCAGAAAACCTTATATCTACAAACACTAAGAACATTTTCGAATTTTTGTAATCCATGACATTTCTCAAAACTTCACAATGTTAATTCTTCTCAATTTATCAAATAAAATTAAATAGTACTAATGACTTTTATTACAAAAATAAGAAAATGGCACTGTAAAATGTCCATAACATTGCAAATATATACTATTTGTTATTCCCCAAATAATGTTGATGGTAATACAGATGTTCCTTGCATATGGTCATCGTAGTTGAGATTAATTTAAGATATTGACCCAAGCATTGTCATGTCAATGGTTATTCAATTTCAAGTGATCGTCAAGCATCATTAAACACACTTGCACACAGACACCCACACACAAAATCAAACCTTCTTCCCCCGAATAACCAAAAATCGCTTTACTAAATACCTTGATGTGTGTTATTTGTTTACTTTCAGCTACACCCACCCCGTAAGAAAAGTCATTCTGTTCTGATTCCCCCACCCCTCAGAACAAAAACATCCTCACAATGAACAAGTGTTTTGTTAGTCTTTTGATGTTGGCCTGTTGTGTGAGTGTGGCCTACAGTGAACACAGCTACAATGAAGACGCCGGCGATAATGGTCCCGCCACAGGCGCAGACAGTGTCAATTCGTTGTTCAATACAAATGTAGATGCCAGTAGTGCCGATACCGATGTGGCTAAGGACAATTTGGACAAACGAGTGGAACGTTATGCCTTCGGTCTGGGCAGACGTGCCTACACCTATACAAATGGCGGTAATGGCATCAAACGTTTGCCAGTCTATAACTTTGGCCTGGGCAAGAGGGCACGTCCTTACTCCTTTGGTTTGGGCAAACGTTTCGATTATGATGATTATGAACAAATGACAGAAAATGCCAATCTAATGGCAGCCAGAGGTATGTTGGCTGGATACGGAACAATGAATGGTATGTTGTAGCTCTTTGAAGAAGAAAAACAATTTTGTTACAACATTTAATTTATTTTTCTCTACTCCGCAGATAACAAGCGCAATCGTCCCTACAGTTTTGGTTTGGGTAAACGTTCCGATGATGGTCAAATGTACTCAAGACCCTATGGTTTTGGTCTGGGACGTCGTTAAACACCATTAGCAAACACCTTTAGACTTTGTTTTGGCCAGTTGAGGAATATTTCAAAGGAAATTCCCCCGAACATATTTTTTTCGTTTTGTTTCCAGCCTAAATTTCCTTTGAAATGTGACTTCAACCAGAGAAGGCCATCACAAGGAAGCAAGCAAGCAACCAACCAATTAACCTGCAACACCCTCTACCAAAAACCACGCATAACTAAAGCAACAATTCGGGAATATTCTAATGGAGATAGTTTCATTTGAAGGGATAACAAACAACAAATCAAAACCAAAGAAAAAATTAAAATAAAAAATGAATTCTAAGGCAGCCAAATATAAGAAAAAATTATTTATAAAAAAATAAATGTTAAAATTAAATAAAAATCTTAAGCAAATAAAAATTTAAAGAATTTATTTTATCTGTTTTTGTTTAATATTAAAAAATAACATTATAAGGTGTAGCCTCCTTATTTAGTGTTTTAGATTGAGTGCCATTTGCAAAATATTCTAATCAACATTCAGCAGAAAATAATTATAAAAAAACAAATCTAAAACTCAATGTCAATGTTTGAAAACAATTATTTAAACAAAAACCAAAAAACATATATTTATATATAAAACACACAAAGAAATGTAACCACACAATTGAAAATCAGACAACAAATATATCTAAACCTAAGTTCAATTAAATTATAAAAAATATATTAATTTTAGCCAAAAACAACTAAATGTGTTATCTGTGTCATTTGAGCAAAAACCAAGAAAATAAATAATAAAAAAAAATTGTCAAGTCGTTTCCGGAGGAAATAATCACATAACACACGATCTGATAAGAAACTGTCCTCATCGTTCGTGCATTCGCGGTTTATTGTCAACAGAGCCAAAACAAAAAATAATCATCAAAGAAGAAAATAATTTAATAATAATAAAAAAGTAAAAATCTTCAAACTAGTCAACAAACTCCCATCATTGAAAGCCGCCCACACTCCACTCCACTTCCTTCCTTACTTTTTTGTCTCTGTACTTTTTTTGCTGTCTCTGCTAAGAAAACTGACTAACATGTCAACGAAAATTAACATCAATAACAAAATAAATTAATTAATTGTAAATAAAATGTTTAACATTCATGTACTATACAACAACAATTATCAAACAAAAAGTAATAAATGAATACAAAATATATATAAAAAACAATGTAAGCAAATAAAATATATTTAAACAAAAAGGTATCAATAAAATATATATTATCTCAATGTTGAATAAATTTATTTTCAAGTAAAGTCGTTTTGAAGGCAACAAACAAAATATTGGATACATAATAGGAAGTATAGGTTCTAAAAGTAACATTTTTATACAGACAAGAAACATCAGTAATCAATGCAATTGAGACGAACGGTCTTAAAATATACTCGCACAGGAAAATGTGCAGCAATTCCAATGGAGACGTTTAGAAAATCGGTCCAATAAAAAATAAAAATAAATATATCTCAACCGATTTTCAGCAATTTTGATAAGGTCCTTGAACAAAAAAAAATGAGCTATGCCAGACAGCATTTTAAACAGCTTTTCTTGTAATACCAAGGTATATTGGATCTAAAACAGTTTATGAGTGTGTTCCATTTCTAACCATTCGAACAGTATTTGTAAATATTTTACATAACGGTCTAAAATAAAACTAAGTTGGTGTGTCATCTAGCGGCGAGTAGTTCAAACTATACAACCTATATGTTTGTCAAACTGTATAAATGTTCGAAATGTAGGTGGCGGTAATAATGGCATTCTAGGAGTATTTTAAAATTTGTAAACTCGAATCTTAAGGGGACCCCCCATTCTCGGTGTCAAAATTTTTTTTGATTTAATTCGAATCTACTCTAATTCTAGAATGTCTCTACAAAATTTCAAGTGAAAATCTCAAGAACCCTTAAAGATATAGCCGATTTATTGTGTTAGCATCAAGTGACGGCAAAGGGCTTCTCAAACTTTAAACGCGTTTTTCTCAAAACGAATGGCGGGCACGATAACTCAAAAACTAATAATCCAATCGGTTTCAAATTTTGGCACGTTTCTCTGGGAGTGTGTAGCTCTCGTATGAACTAGGATAAAGCTAATCGGTGAAGATCTTCCTTATTTTTTAACTTAGTTTGTGGTAAAAAATAGGCGATTTTCCATCAAAATTTTTTCAAAGTTCCGCCATTTTGTTAATTGTTGTGCGAAGTCAATAATCCTAGTTCATACGAGAGCCAGACATGTCCTCTTTCTAAAACAGTCGGAATTTTCGGATTCGGCCCATTTAAAATCTTAAAAATTAAAAAAATCGAGAAGGGGGGTGGGGGGGGGTCCCTTAAACGAATGTGCGAAAAAATCCACGCCAGTAATAACTATTAAAAAAAATATAAATGCAAGTCCATTGGTAGCTCTTGAAAAACTGATCTTAAAAAATCCTCGCCTATTAGTGACCCATGAAAAATTAATTTCATAACTCCACGCCTTTTTTGGTAACTTCAGAAGTAATTTTAAAGAAGCCACGACTATTAGTGACCCTTGAAAATTAAATTTAAAAACTTCACGTTTTGTTTCACACTTAAAAAATTAATTTAAAATAAACCATAACCATAACCCCATTAAAGGCCAGCTGCCTTTAAAATTAAAAATTATCCATTCTGTTCAAATAGTAAATAGAACTCAAAAATATAAAATTTTATAAAAAAGTATTTTTATGATTTTTAGTCTGTACCCAAGCAGGTGGTATACATGAGGAGTATAATTATGTATATGTGATTAACCCTAGTCTAAATAACCCAAAATCAAATCAAAAGCAGAAATAATAAATTTCTTAGAGGATTTATGGCATTTCAAATATGAATATTTTTCTGTACCTGTGCAAGTACAATGGACACTAATGAGTTAAAGCAAAAAATCCACTCCAATAATAAGCCTTGAAATGTTAATTTTAAAAAAATCGATGAATTTAACAATACTTCTTGAAAAATAAATTTAAAAAATCTACGCCTAAAGCTATACCTTGAAATTTAATTACAAAAATGTAACCATGAACGGTCATAGACTTAATAAACCTGAAAAATATGCTAAATATAAAAAAGTAGAATCACATTTATACTCAGCAACTAGATATATTACCCTGTCTAATGCTTTTTATTTCACTTTAATACGACTATTATTACCAGAGATATACCAATTTAAAGAATCAACGACACAGCAAAGCAGTGCAATTCAAAAATATGCATGCACAATCAATGGAGACCTCAAATCGAGATCCTCCCCCCACCACCCACTTTAACTACAATACGAAAGCACATAACAACAACAGCAGTATTTGCTTTGAACACCTATCCTCCCATTGCCACCCACTTTGTGGAGCATAACAATATCACAATAAGGGACCAGAGCACGAAACACTGGTAAGAGAGTAATTGTATTCTGCTCCACTCAGTTACATATTCACATAATGAGAACAGTTAATAATATTAATCAATGGTTTTCTCTTACATGAATCTTCTTCATTTATTAAATTTAATATTTTTGAACAGTTAAAAAATAAATTCTTTAAAAAACCATAGTTTATTATCTTTTAAAATCAAAAAATGTAAAGAGAACAAAAGTTACTTGATGCCTTTGTTTTTCTTGGGAGACTCAAAGAATGTTCTTGTTCTTACCTTCCGATCATGTCCAGTTTGGATAAAGGGCTCGACATCTTAACTAACAGAACATACACACGGACATTTAATGAAAAAATATTTTTTCTTATAAACGGCAAAGGCGAAAATATAAAACCCCGAAAATATTTTAACACACAATCTTTCTTTGAATATTTATCGCACGCTTTCGACACAGAAACGAAAAGGAAAATCAGTAGGAAGAAAAAGACTTAACTACTACAAAACACAGTTATGGCAAAGCGACACACGGTTTGTTTCCTTCATAAAATATATTTTTATTAAATTCATTCGCGAACAGAATACGGATTTCTACCGGGCAATTTATTTAACAATTTTGCAAAACAAATATTCCAATACGATCGATTTCTTATTGCATAGCAACTCCCGCAACCGCACTTCACGACATTTAAAGTCGAACTAAAGTCGAGTAATTTCCGAGAACGATGAATGGATCAAACAAATGGAGAATTACCCCCACTCTACCTAGGAAGAGAGCCAATTGTTAAACTCCATTACATTACGCACCCACACACATAATTGTTGGTGCATGGAGATGTCGTGAGATGCAAAATTAAAAATCCAATTAGAACTCCCAAATTCAGGCAATCCACTTTACTACAGCAACATAAATGACAATTAAGCGATTTTTTTGGTTTTGACTTTTTGAAAATTTTAAGAGTAAAATATTTTCAAGGACTATTTCTTATGCTCCATAGAGTGAGTGACAATACGGTTGGTTTTTTTAATTAATTAATTTTTTTCATTTTATAAAACAATTTTTTTTTTGCCACTCGCTGTTGTAAATTGCATTGCCTGAATTTTGCGAGTTCTACTTGGAACTTTTATTTTGCATCTCATGACATCCTCTCGTACCAACAGCTCTATGTGTATGTGCGTAATGCAATGGAGTTTGCCAATTGACTCTCTTCATAGTTAGAGTGGGTCAACTCTCCAATGGTGAGTCTCCATTTATTTCATCCATTCATTGTTCTCGGAAATTTCTCGACTTTAGTTCTTCTCTGAATGTCGTGATGTTCGGTTGCGGGAGTTACTATGCAATAAGAAATCGGTCGTATTGGAATAATTGTTTTACAAAATTGTTAAATAAATGGCCCGGTGGAAGGCCGTTTTTTGTTCGCGAGTGAATTAAATAAAAAGCTTATAAGGAAAAATCGTGTGTAGCTTTACCAAGACGGTGTTCTTTTTATAGTTACGTCTTTAACGTCCTACTGATTTTCCTTTTTGCTTTCCTTGTCAAAATTGTGCAATAAATATTCAATGTAAAATTGTGTGTCGATTTTAATTCGGGGTTTTTACAATCGCGTTTGCATTTTATAAAACAATAATATTACATTTTTTTAATTCCCCGTGTGTGTCTGTGTATGCTTTTTGTTTTGTTAGAAACGACGAGGCCTTTATAAAAAAGAAGAATATTATTTGTGACTCCTGAGAAAAAAGGCGGCAAACAACATTTGTTGTTGTTAGGGTCTATTGATGTTAACTGTTCTCATTATGGGAGAGTACACATGTACTCTTCTCAGTGGTTTGTTCTCTGTTTTTTTACTGTGATATTGTAATGCTCCACAGAGTGGGTGGTAATGGGAGAATAGATGTCCATAGCAAATACTGTTGTTATTGTGTGTGTTTCAAACTATAGTTAAAGTGGGTGGTGGGGGAGGATCTCCCGTCGCAGTCACCATTGGTTATGCATTCTTTAAATGGTTGTATCTCGGGTAATACTGGTCGTATTAAAGTGAAATAAAAAATATTTGAAAGGATAATGCATCTAGTTTCTGGGCAAAGAGCGATACATACGAGTGGATTTATTTAAATTAAATTTTGGATTTTTTAATTAATTTTCCAAGGGCTACCAAATGACATGGATTTTTTAAATAGATTTTCCAAAGATTTCCTATTGGCGTGGATTTTTTTTTAAATTTATTTTTCAAGGCTACCAATAAGGGAGGATTTTTAATTTAAATTTTTCAAGGGCTACCAATAGACGTTTTTGTTTAATGTAATGTCATACGGGTGTGTTATCTAGCGGTGAAAAGCAGAAACAACATCGATGTTTGTCAAACTAAACAAATATTCAACATATAGATGGCGGTAGAGGTGGCAGTTAAGAAATGATTTACACAGTATTGACTGAAACGAAGATGCTTTGTTTTATGTATAAAGAATTGTAGTCAATGTAACTTTAAAATTTTATGTTTGATTTCATATTTGTTAAATATAGATGTCGCTAAGACTTAACAGCGTCTGTTAAGTAGTAACATAAAATTTGCTGTTGTAAACAAATCCTACTCTACCACAGCACAGTAGTCCAATTTGTTAACATACAAAGTGTGATTTTTAGATATCTTTATAGTATGTTTAGTGTTTTAGTATATGGATAGCATTACAATAAAGATTCCATGATTTTTCCTGAATTTTATGTTTATTAACTTTTCCATAGCTCTTAAAAATCATCCTATAAATAAAACTCCTTATTTAAAATAATGATAATATTTTTTTTAATTTTAATTTATTATTTTTCATATCAACATTTACTTAATACACATACAGGAATAATAAAAAAAACATAAGAATAAATTTATGGATCTGTGCGACTTTGTACAATTGTTTGGCGGAATAAAATCTCTTAGATATCTTAAGGCAGGCAGGCAAATATTTACAATGGACATTTAATATACAACATAATTATAATAATATTAATAAACAACAACTATTTAGTAATTAATTAATGGATATTTTCTTTTTCAAACAAATCAAAATATTCAACCATGAACATGCAAGCAAGTTTATTTCACAACTGATTTTTATAGGAAAAATCGCTAGGAAATCACTTCAATTGAGGCGTAAACGTTGACCCGGTGTGCGATAGGGTGTGTAGTTACGTATACCCCGATAATCGTCTTGATCGTATTCATCACCGGAATTTGTGTCCGAACCACCATAGTACACCGATTTCATATAACCGGGGAATGGTGTTACAGACATATAATCATCGGCCACATCATCCTCTGGTGGCTCAACGGCCACAAAGGAGAGTGCAAAACCACGCAGGGAAGTCGATTCATCGGTTTGGAAACGTATTAATATTGTATCGGAATAGGACACAATGACGGGGGGTTTCTGCAAAAGGAGAAATAAAAGAAAAATTGATTGTTAATTTGAGAGACTTAAAAACAAATAGATTTTGAAACTTACCCTATTGCCACAGTATCTGCCATGAAAGGTATTTCTTTGGAAACTCTGTTCCTCGGATATTTCCACAGAATCATAATCACATCTATCGGAGTACTCAATTTCAAAATGTAGGAACTTGATTTTGACACTGCTGTCCGGATCGGCCTGTATACGCCAATTACAATACATGTTGCGTTTGTAATTACGCTGGCCGAAACGTGGATGGGAATAGAAGATTTGAGAGCGATTTGTGGCCCTTAAGTAGCCACCACATTCTGCAAGGAAGAAAAATAAATAAGAAATTATTTCATAATTCATTTTTCTATATGGAATATTTTTTACTTACCCGTTGAATATGTGGCCATAAAGCCTTTCCGCTGCAACCCCGCATCTGTCTTCAGCACCATAAACATATCATTGGACGAGGCCACTACGGCATAGGGTTCTTTGCCACCACAATATATACCCAATATGGAACTATTTTCCGATTTACCATCATGTATGCCGACATAGTCATAGATACACTCTTGATGATTTTCCAATTGAAAATCATGGAATGTCAATTGAACACGATGACCCAAAACCGTGTGGAAATGCCAGTAACAATAAATATTGCGTGGATAATCCTCAGGATAGTGGGGGCTGGAGATCACACCATATGGATTGGTTATTTCAAATTTACAACTGGTCTCAGTGCAGTTGTGGCGATTTTCATGTAACGTAAAACCATTGCGGCAGCTGCAGACATACGAACCGTAGGTGTTGCGGCAGTAGTGTTGACAGCCTCCATTGTTAATGCTGCACTCGTCGGTATCTGAAATATAAGGAAATTAATTTAGTATTTAAGTTCAATGATTATTTTTTCTGTTCCTCTTACCAATTTCAAATTTCGCTGAAAATCCCAAATGTTGTACCGATTTATCCGAAAAGAATTCCAAACGCAAAATATTTTGCTCCGAATTGACAGTGGGTGGTAGTTCATGACCACAATATACCCCAATTTTCTTTAGACGATTATCTCTCAGCTTGGAGTAGATAACCAAATAATCGTAATTACATTCGGTGTATTGCATTTTGGTACCCTCTAAATCGAAATGGGTAAAATTCAAGAATACCGCATGATTTGCTGGAGCCACAATCTCCCACACACATTCCTTTGAGATGGGATAGACATCTGGCCAACCGGGTGAATTCACCGTGCCATTACCCACACTGGCATCAATGATACCGCCACAGGCATCTGAAAAAAATTGGAAATTTTATTATTTAAAGTTCTTTAAATTTTAGTAAGGTTTTTGCCACTTACCTTCACAACTCTTTCCATCCGCCTGCAGCTCATAGCCAGCAAAACAACCACACTGATAACTGCCCAGTGTATTGATACACTCATGCTCACAGCCATGATTGCCGAATTGACATTCATCAACTTCCTGCATGAACACGGCTGAAAAGCCCACCTTTTGCACCGAACCATCCGATACGAATTTTACGTACATTTGATTGCTGTTGGTCCTATAAATAATACAACAATAAAAATTTTGATAAATATTTAAACTTAAAAAAAAAATTATTTTTTACTTACTTTATATTCGGTGGCAATTTATAACCACAAAAGATGCCAATTAATTCCGAATCCGTACTATTGCCATCTCGTATTTCAACATAATCATACATACAATTATCATGATTTTCCAATTCGAAAGATTGAAACTTGAGGGCCACCTGATGATTTTCCGGCACGGTTATACGCCAAACACATTCCTTGTCGGGAAAATATTCCAAGGGATAGTTGGGTGAATCGATGCGTCGATCATCGGTTAAATAAATATCGCCACCACAGACAACTGGGAATATATAATAAAAAACAAAATATATTAGAAATATTAGTTGAATATAATAATTTTAAAATAAAATTAAACCAAAACTTAAAAACAAAAATTAAATAAATATTAAAACAAGTCTTGAATTAATTTTAATAGGATAAATTGAAAAAAGTCGAAGTTATTATCCCACTATCGAAATTCGAATAGAATGGGGTCTATATTACAATGTTCTCATGAATCCAGTAGTACGAAATCATATTGTTAAAATGACAAAAACCCCTCAAATAATTTCAGACAATGATGGTAGAACTTGAGATGTTAGAACATAATGCCAGAATGCTCCTTATCAGACTACAGTAAAATGTCCACCACCTGCCCAATTTTAATATCTTATTAATTTTGCCACTTATCTGTGAATTTGCATCTCATTCATCATATTTTTTAAATTTAATCCTACACATAATTTAGTGTTTCTAAACATAAAAATTCTTGATCGGAAGAGATTTTCTATTAGCACCTCCACTATTTGAGAAGGAGTAACAAACTTAGAGAAATTCAGTTCAAAGTGTACTGTACTGAACTAAATGAATAATAATACAAGATAACAACAAATTCACAACAGATTTATATGGTTAGTGTTTAAAAAAATCTCTCTCTTCAATTGAGACGTAAACGTCGGTCCGGTGTACGATAGCGTGTGTAGTTACGTATACCCCGAAAATCGTCTTGATCATATTCATCACTGGAATATGTGTCTGGACCACCATATTACAGCGATTTCATATAACCGGGGAATGGTGTTATAGACAGAGCATCAGCCACATCATCCTCCGGAGGCTCAACGGCCATTATATTCTTTTATATTTAGCCCTAGAAATAATTTGATGCTTGCAAACATAAATATTGGTAGGAAGAAATTTTCTATGAGAGAGATTTTTTTTTTTAAGAGAGAACAAAAAAAAATTAGTGAATTTCTTTTCAAAGAATACTGAGCTAATTAACTGAATATGATCACGATTTAAACCAAATTCGAAAAAATAACAATACTAAAGAAATATCTCAAAAAAAAAAAAATCCTTTAAATATCTAGTTATTTAGACGACTCTATTATGGTAATTTTTGTGGTCTTAATACTTATTTTTTTTGTTTTTCCACATTTTATCAACTTTTCAAATCCTACTTTGTAAAAAAAATAAAAAAGAGGACTTACCCTAATAATTACGAATAAAAGACATATGTATAACGCCTAATCGGAATTTCTTAAGAATAAATAGTTTTTTTTTTGCTACTGGTAGGACAGAGAACCCTTCACCGTTTCCTTTTCCTCAACACTGAAAGAAAAGAAAAAAGTTGTTGTTTAAAGCCCATTGGAGAAAAATTCGAGAAAAATATAATTTTCAAATAGAGATGGATATCAGAGCTACAACATAATAGTACCCTGTGCCGCAGAGAGGCGTAGAATAAAATATACAAGGATTCTATAGGGAGGAGAAAAACCCCAACACATATTGATGGATTTGAATTTATGTTGGATGTTCGCTGGATATACAAAAAAATATATTTGTTTTAATACTGAAATATTATCCGATTATATTTTTTAACTGCATGACAAAGTTTGACAAATCTAGATACAATATAAATCCTGCTGATGTTACTACCACTTCGGAGAAGTCTAATCTTAGCTAAAAATAGCCTTTTAAAAATTGCTTTCTTGAGGTAAAAATTTAAATTTATAAAGTTTAAGAAAAATTGAAATTCACTTCAGCATAAATACGTATATGAGTCGTTTATTTTAAAAGTGAGTTACATACATTTTAGGTTAGGTACGTACATTTTAGGTTCTGATACACATCCTACTTTTCTAGTTTCGGAATATGATAGAAAATTCATAAGAGAAACATATAGGATGCGTTTTCTTATTTATAAAAAGCTTCATACACGAACCAAAATAAAGACATATATTGACACATATTGAGGACATAACAATAGGATTCCCTTTCTAACGAAATTTCTTCCGCATATTGAAAGGATTATAGAGAAAATAGCAGTTTAATTTGCATTAACAGCCTTAATTCAAATTAATTTGTACATTATCCTCCTTTTTATGTGTTTTTAATGCACAAAATCAAACTGAATTTATACCGAATTAAGCAATTTCAATATGGCAATGCCGTAGAAAATAAATTGATTGTTGTCAAATTTGTTTGAAATTCAACAATTATTCAAATTGGGAGCTGTTTTACTATCGTTATAGCTGATTTTCTTCCTTTCTGCAATGTATCAATTTTATAAAGACGTAATCCCAAAAAATATTGGAAACAAATGCCAATATCTTCTTCCTACACACAGACGAACAATAGTTTTGAAACAAAAAATTGTTTCATAAATGCAGAAATTTGCCTGTCAGGGGTAAATATTAATTCAAATTAAGAACTTTTTAATGCAAATTAAGGCTGTCGTCTGTCTAGGGTATAAGTGATAGTACTTTTGAAGTCATTGTTTTGGCCTTATTTTATGCATTATTCGAGGATTTAATAATTCTTTTCAATTTATTTCCTAATTTATAATACTTGGAATTTCATTTCAAAAATTGTGTTGAATTCATTAGCCAGGTAATTAACACTAATGTCCTATCAATAGAGTATCGAAAGCTATACAAATATACATACTCGACTGCAAAAATAAATCATAATTATTTCAACATCATTTTTGTTTAATGGCATGAAATGAACGAATTCGCCTAACAAAGCTAATGGCACCATTGTTAACAATTGTATTTCAAACACTCTACTAAATATCGGCTATGACATGTGTGAAGGAACTAAATAAAGTGCTCTGCAATGAACATTTACCATAAATAAGCAAATTCAAATTGGTGGGCAATTCCAAAACCATAGCAATAAAATGTGTCCCCATGCATTGGGGAAAGTATTTGGCAACGAAGCATGGTAATATTCTGAAGGGAAGTGAATGTGTAAAGTGTAAAAAACACACTATGCGTTCTAGAACATACCTGCATATAAATATTTGTAATGATGTTTTTTGAACCAATGTTGTGCAGAAAATTTAAATTCTCATGCGAATCAGAAAAGGTGTGAATTTCTGAGGGGAAGTGTATGTGTAAAAAACACACCGTGTGTTCCAGAACATACCGAATATAAGTACTTGTAATCATAATTTTTTTGAAGCCAATAACCCCATAACTATTTTGATCTTATATCGCCACAGTAGTAATTAATAATTCATAATATTAGAATTCATCTAAAAATAACCAATTTTAATTTGTTTTTTTTACTTACCTTCAAAATCGGCAATGAATCCGCGATAACCTTTACTGCCACCATGACGATTAACGTAACTAATAAGCATGCGACTGGAATCACTTTTTATCGTCACAGATGTATGATTCCCACACAGGCGTTGTATAACCGGTGATTTATGCCAATAACCATCACGTATTTCGATATAATCCTTGGAACAATCAGGTGATGATAATAAATTCTAAATTGTGTGGGGGAAAAAGAGAGACATAGGGTTAGTGAACGATTAGTTTATGTTATTGGCAAGAGGGAGTAAACAATTAAGCTTTGTATGAATTATTAATAGAGGGTATGGTGATGCAATTGCAGATCGTATATCCAAAAAAGGTCAGCAGTACTGGAAAAATTTTTTTGAGAGCTTCATAATATATATTTTGATCGAAGGCCTCATATTGGTAGAATGTAATTAAAAATTGTATATTTACAGGGAACCTTTTCAATATACCTCGAAGTAAATAAGTCTTTTTTTAACGTCTCCTATCAGCTGAAGATATTTGAAAGTATTCTCATAAACCAAAATTTTAAGTGACCCATTATTTAGAATGACGTTCTATTCTAAGTATTTGAAGGGTATTTTATATTCCAAATACCTGATGAAAATATTATATCCTGGTAATATGAGGGTAATCCCTAATATAGGAGATTTAGTGTTTAATTTAGAAAAACATATTGATTTTCATCATCATCTCATTTTCATCATCATTTAGAAAAACCTCTAACAAAAGAAGAAATTTAATTATTTTGTTTATTAAATTAATTACTTTTGAAGGAAATCCCCTATATCTACATATATTTTCACTGTACTTTACATTTGGAAGACCAGCTAGTGAAGATTTCATATTTATAAAAGATACTCAATTTCGATACACAATTTTAAGGACCTCTAAATAAAGAAGACCATGGGATGTATTTAATCTACTGAATGCGAGTTGGCTGTAATTCGAGTGAAGGTCTTTCTAATTCCTCAATAAAGTCTTCGGACGATTTTTATGACTTTATATCTACTGAAGTCATAACATTTTTTATTGGATCCAATATAAACCTCTAATACGCAAATAGAACTCATACATAGGGATCATTCCATGGCATTTTTCATTGGGCCCAATATAAATTTCTAATACACAAATAGAACTCTTTTATAGCGATCTGTTCTCTTTAGAGCTGTCCTTCCTTTGTCCTTTGACAATATTTTTGATCTCGCATGGACCATTGGAAAATCTTCGTCCTTTTGGAGAATTATTTGATGTCCCCTTTTATATCAAACCGTTTTTAGATCTTTTAAGATAATATTTTTTACGTCTTCAAACCATAATGAATATAGTATGGATCCACATATTTTGAAGTTAATAGAATCCACATATTTTGAAAGAAATAGACAGGAATTTCTTTGACATCTATTTCAATATATTCTGAGATTTTAAAGTTTTTGGTCAGTCAATTTGTCATTGGATTAAAATTTGAAAGGGCTATATTTATGTTTAACCCTTTGAGCCCCGAATTTTTTCCGTAATCATAGAACAATTTTCTGTTCACAGATTTAATGCAACTATCCTAGATAGGATATGGACAAATTTTGACGCCGCTACATCCTTGCATTCGGGAGATACAGTACATTCTTTCTGAAAAATAAAAGCCCAATATCAAGAAAACCAAATGAAAAATCGACGAAAAAATAATTTTAAATTATTCTCTATATTCTGTTTTACAAGAATCAAAAATAATTCTTCAGAGTATATTTCAAATACGAAGCGATTTAAATAATTTGGACTGTATACACAAATCAGTACTGTACACATTTTTGCCCTCTTCTCTATATTAAAAAGCTCATAACTTTACCAAAAATTTGAATTTTTTAGATTTTTCTTGTGGTATGTGTCGTCCATAATCAGGCCTTTACGAAAGGAATATATATCTACTATATATTAAATATTAGCTCTAAAACATTTTGTTGCCTGTGGGCAACATTGGGCCACAAAGGGTTAAGGATTTTCTATTCATAGAAGACTTTTTTAAGTTTTTATGTAGTTCATAATTGTTTTTTATCTCATAAAATATTAAATATTTTTCAACTTACCACTTGATGCAGCTGCAAGATAATCCTTTCACCATTCGTTGCCGTTATTCTCCATTCACACGACTCCAAAGATCTATCAAAATCCGTAGCTGTATCATCATCATCCTCATCCAACACACCATTACCACTACCCTCAACATCCAGCACATTTTCACGATCTTTCGTTTTGGATCTATAATTAAAATGCGGAGCAATAATTTGTCCAGCATTCTGTTGAAAAGTGCGACCACATGTTGCACATTTATATAGCAAATTTGCTTGGGCAATATCACCACGACTCAGTCGCACACGTTGACCAATTTCGATTTTTTCATTTTCTCTTACACCAATCGGTTGTATTGTATCGAGATAGACATTTTTCGAAAATGTATTACGGGCATAGTGCATTATGGAATTGTAATCATAGGGTAGACCAAGCGAATCAACATCTTCGGGGGAGAGTACATCAAAATTATATTCCTGACCCTTCATAATATTCGCCTTATTGATGATAATGTGGTTGTCACGATCTACTCGGGTGTGTTCATGCCAAAAACCCACAACGTGACCCAATTCATGAACGACAATGCCGAATTTTTCACAATTACGGCCAATTGAGATGGCCTGACGTCCATTGCCACGTTTGCCAACAAAGGAACAACATCTATAAAAAACAATTGGAAATTAATTTGTGTTACCAAAAAATGTCTCAACTCAACTGAACTTACCCGCAATTTTTAATGGTGAAATAGATGTAGTTCGGATGCACCTTGGGATCTCTTTCCACAAATTTAATACACGTAAAATTCTCCCAATGACGCATGGCCTGTTTAAACAAAGCCTTGTGGGCGCCACTGAAGATGTGATCAATTTCATAGGGTATAACACCATAATCCCAGATCCTTTCCTTTTTCGCTGTCACAGCTCGGCGATTGCGATGCACATCATTTTGATTTTGCTGCTGTTGTGTTAATAAATGTTGTTGCGGCCTAGGCAATTTAGGACTATGAGAAAAAGAAAACAAATTTTTATATTTTTCGATTTTTTACAATTTTTTATTATTACTTTTTCAATTTTTTCTACATTTTGAACTAAAACTAATTTTTTTAAACATTTTTGTCTACTCTAATACTGTTTTTATTCTATGAGCCTCTGCAATGTATTTTTGAGAGATCATCCGTTTTTTTTCTTGTGAAGTTTTACGTCTTTTCGGATATTTATGTATGTATGTCGTGTTATGCCCTGAAAGAGAAGTATATAGGCCAAATTTAGTACAGTTTTCAAGAGAAAAATTAACAAAAATTATTAGATTTTTTTTTTGATGGCAAAGAAAAACTGAATAAAACTTTGGCTATAATGGCTTCTCCGAAGGAAGTTTAAAATTTGGGTTTACAAATTATTGAAAATAAAATTCAGAACAAGATAGTGAAGGAAATATTGAACGCTCCTGGAAATATTGAACATATCAGATTCTCAGGAACGATTGAAAAAAATGTTCGATTTTGAAAAAAGATTTTCATGAAATGGCGGAGTATCTCTAAAAATAGAATAACTTAAAATGAACCTCTATAGACACCATTTTTTTTAAGGCTGGTATATATTTTATGGTTGATATAGGAATGAAGAAGTGTAATAGATTTTCGAACCATCGGGACCTTGTATGAAGTCCATTTGAATGGAAGATTAGCAAAATAGATTCTTCAAAAAAAATTTCACAGGTTGTTTATAGTTGGGAGGCCTCTTAAATAATATAAAACCCTATTTTATTATTTAGTAGATTTAGTAGATTATTTGTAAGAGCCTTAAAGAAATTTTAAATAATTTAGAGTTTATGTATCGATGAAAGCCTTTCGGCAATAATATAAGGCTCTTTATACTGATTTTATTAATAGAAGACCCTATTCAGGCTACTCTATGCAGAGGACACTATGTTGTGCAATTTCAGAAGAGAATATATTTGGAAGTCTATATAAAGAACAGTTCTACCACTTTTCGTGAGGGTCTTTTTAGCAGTTTTCGGAAAATTTTAAAGAAATTGATAGAAAACATTTTTCAGGGAGAATATGAATAGGAGCCTTTTAGAAATTTAAAAAAAAAATCTTTCGAGGTCTTTTTAACCATTATTCAGAGAGAAGCCTTTGTTTAACCCTTTCAGTGTTTTTGTTATATTCGACCATTCTCTTTCTTTGCTATTTTTCGGTTATCCTCTGTATGTTTTTGTATTTGCTGAAAGACAGACGAAACTATTTTAGATTTTAATTCCGACAAAATTTTTTTTGACACTGAAAGGGTTAAGTACTCCAAAAATATAATCTAAATTTGGAATTAATTTGTAAATCTTCTACGAACTGATTATTTGTTAGACTGGTGATTATTTGTCGATCTTATTTAGAGAAGACATTTTTCGAAAGCTTTTCTACAATTTCAGAAAATATTTTTAATCTTGTGGAAATTATTTGTCGATCTTATTAGAGCGAACATTTTATGAAGGCTTTTCTAGAATTTCAGAAAATATTTGTAATCTTCTATCGATATGTGATTCTCCAGAGAGATTTTTTGGAAGAACCTTAACTTCTTGAAAACCCTTAAAGGCCACCCGATTAAAAAGATTTCTTCACTGAATTTCGATCTACATTTGACACATTGGTTCTGTTTTGCGTGTACAATTTAAAACATCAAAAAAAAAAAAAAAAACATTTTCAAGGATTTGTTTTATCTCCCTTTTGATTTCATCTCAGAAAACATATAATTTTGTAGAAATTATTTTGAAATATAGCCTTCCATCACAAAACACCTGCTGTTTGAATATTTTTAAATTGTTTAACCCATGCTGAGATTGATGTTATTTAACAAACCATTTTAAGGTTATTTAAATTCTTTTGATTTTTATTTCCTCAAGTGGCTTCTTCAAAACACCTCTTATTAGAATATATTTTTGATATTCTAGCGATATGTGGTTCTTCTGATAGATTTTTGGAAGAACTTTAAAAAATATGAGACCCTATATATAAATAAGTCTTCTATAAAAAAAAGTAAAATCGCTAATATTTTTATAACCCTTTATTTTAATGACACCACTTCATAAATATCCGAAATATCGTCATAAATCCTTCGTTTTTAGCGGCAATTTAATTTGTTTATAACAATTTAATTATGTACACATTTATTTACCTGTTCATTTCCTTTTTCCGTTTCGGGGCATCCTCTTTTTTGTGACTTTGATCATGCTGATGATGGTGTTGTTGTTGTTTTTGTTGGTGACGTTTTTTATGATTCTTAGAACGACCACCAGCCACTTTTACTTTCTTTCCCTTGAGCTGTTTGAAAAGGCGCCTGTAAAGAGTGTGAAAGAGAAAGAAAATTAGAGTACCATAAAATAAAAAAATTGCACAATTGCTGCAATAACACCTAAAACCAATGTAATATGATCTTGATATGATTTAAATAGCCGTTGTAAACAAGCCGAACTCAGCAGGTAGTAACACTACGATCCTCCTTCCAGGTAAACACACTCGCACATACACACAAATAAGAAAAACATCCTTAATTGACAACTCCCTGGGATTTTCCAGGGAATTTCTACCTTGACGACCCAATTCATAATGAGTCACAAGAAATGTTAGAAATTCCCGGGTAAAACCCATAACGAATTGAATTGAAAATCGTCGGCCGAACATAAGTGGTACTACCACTTAAGGTAAAAAGGGATCAAGGATGTTGCAAAAACAAACCATTGTTTTATTGGGCTTATCAACAAAAGTGGGTGCTTAAAACACACAGCGATCATAAAACACTTGAAATCCTCTATTTTGCAGGTAGCCGTTTTGTAAGATATACCGATTAGATACTTGAGATTTCCTATCGTGTAAGTCAAGAAGAGATAGATAACAATAGCACGAGTTTTGTGTGTTCGGAGTTTTAGGAAGAAAAATGAGAGAGGAAATGCAGAGATGGGAGTATCATTTCTGATATAGAAATAATAAATGATAAAGAGAGATTGTATGAAGGAATCTATAGGCTTTATGATACTCTTGTATATCGCTAAGGGGAGGAATAAATTAAAAAATGAGAATTTTAAAAATTCATTTTTTGAATTAATATTTGACATGAGTTTTATTAAGAATTGAAATGCTTACTATTGGTTTGTCTTTAGTGTTATTAAAAACTGAATATATTAGACACTTTAATGATGTTTTTATTATTTTTCCGGGAAGATATTAATAAACCATTAAATATTTGTCATGGAATTATAAAACTATCATAATTATAAAACTATCGGGACGACATTTGTTTGTAAATTCTTTTCAGCAACAATTCTTTGTAAAATCTTTGAACAGCAAAAATTAGAAATTACGAAAATATGAGGATTTTAATGAATAATAAAAACTAAGAAAATATAAATTGTCCTACAAAGAACTAAACAAAAAATTGTTTCGATAGACTTTAGAATTAAAATAATAACAAATCAGAAAAAAATATAAATAAATATCGAAAATTGACCATATATCTATGCATTATTCGAAAAGAATAAACTGGGAAGCCTTACAAAGGTCTTGAAAAAATTTAATAGATTTTTAAGGGTTTATTTGTAAGGTACCGACTACTTTTATCCATTAGTTCGGAAGGCTATTTTAAAGACCTTTTAGAATTATGTAAATAATTTAGTGGTTTAAAGCTCTTTACATTTTATTAATATAAGATCCTATTCAGCCTACTCTATGTACAGGATACAATGTTGATGGTTTTTTCGAGGAAAATATATGTGGAAATCTTACAAAGGTGTTATAAAAATGTACTCGATTTTATAGGTTTTATTTATAGCGGACAGTTTATCCATTATTTCGGGAGGGTCCTTTTTAAAAGAAATTGATACAGAACATTTTCGAGAGAGCACGTGTATGAGCAGAAATCTTGAAAAAAAAAATAAATAAATCTGTAGAGAACTTTGTTATCCATTATTCGGAGAGAACATTTTAGGGATCCTTTGTTAAGACTATCTATAGAGGTTATGTATATCTATTAAAGCCCTTCTGGAATAATATAAGGTCCTTTATACTGTTTTGTTTTTAATGTAAGATCATATCCAGGCTACTCTATGTAGAGTACATTTTGTTGATGCATATTTCGAGGAAAATATATTTGGAATCTTTGTAATAAAAATTAAAAAAAAAAATATATCGTGAAATTTTTTTGTAATTTAATAAAAAAAAAATCAGACAAAAATATTAAAATTAAAAATTGTAAATAAATAGCCATTAAAATTAAAACAAAAAATCAGAAAGAAGTAACGAATCGAAAAAAATGTTATGTAAAAAATACAATTTAAAATTATTTTACAAATGTAAAATAATTTGAAACTGGATCATTAAATATATAAGAAGTTTTAATATTTGCCAAATATATTTTTTATTTGAGGGAATATTTTCTCTTAGAATACTCTTTCTATAGATATCCTTTCAATGCAGTGTTATAGATGACATATTTTTAAACGGCTTCAAGGAAACATACTAATAAATATTTTATATATGAAAATAAGTCAAACAAATCCATAGAAAATTCCAAATATTTAAAAAATGTTTTAATTGTAGTAAAGGTTTAAAAAGGTATGTCATTTATTCTCAATATGACCCTTAAGAGATTTCTCATAGCTACAACAACAAAAATGTCGCAAACAAAATTCCCAATAGGAAGTTGCAATCTGGTAATTCCATACAATTGGAAAATTTTGCATACAAATGTTTGCAATGAAAATTGTCACTTAGGAAATTTAATGGCTTTTCCGACATATGTATGCGTTTTTAAATATTTACAATAACTATAGAAAATAGATATATGCCCCTAATTTCCATTGAAGTCAAAATTTCCATACATCTCAAAACTAGGCAAATTTTCCAATAGATAAAATAGTCTAAAGGAATTTTTAAATTTAATAAAAACGCCAAAAATCTAATTCGGAGAAAATCGACTTCTTGGAATTTCAAAAGACAATTTCTTTTCTGAATTTCGCTCTACATTTGACACATTGCTCCTGCCCTGTGTATTTTTGAAACAGAAGACAAAATATTTTATTTTCAAGGACTTGTTTTATCTCCCTTTTTTGATTTTATCTCCGAAAACATATCATTTTGTAGAAATGATTTTGAAATATAGTCTTCCATCACAAAACAAAACACCTGCTGTTTGAATATTTTCAAATTGTTTAACCCATGCTGAGATTCATGTTGTTTAACAAACCATTTGAAGGCTATTCAAATCCTTTTGTTTTTTCTTGTCTTTTGAGATTCTCAAGTGGTTTCTTTGAAACACCTGCCGGTATTGTTTTTGGCAATTTTTGATATTTGGTTGTGTTTTTTGTTGGTTTTGTAATTTGATTTGATTTTCATTTCTGTTTGTCTTACCTTTTTAAGGTCATTTGTCTTAGTTTCTCCTTGGGTATGCCATGCGAATCATCACCCTTGTCTTTCTTCTCGGCAATAAGTTTCTCTGCCGGTATACTCGGCTGGGTGATGATGTTGCGCTCATAAAAGAAATTATTGTGAATGTCGTGTTCAATATTTTTGCCATTCGATTGTATTTTACTGGCATCGCCATTATACAGAAACGAAGGCAAATTATTATGGGGCTTCTTGCGTCCTTTTTTCGATGACATCATAGATTCACGATCAGCTTCGGCGGCGGCTAATTCCAGCAAATGTTGGACATGGGCTGGGGATTTTCCCGCCGTATTGCCTTTGGTATTGGGAGCCTAAGGGAATTAAAAAAATAATTTCATTATTTTTATAATTAAATTTATAAAAATATGAATAACTTACAATTTGTTTATCGATTGTTATAAACTGCTCCGGCCTCTCGATTATATCAAAAAGACCATCGGGATCGATTTGTAATTGCTCATGTTTTGCCATAAGACTTTTTGAATTATAACCATAATTAAATCCACTTGTTTGGCTTATTAACAATAAGCACCACACACAATTCAATATTAACATTTTACTCATTTTTTATTACGATAATTTTTTTCTTTGAAAATGAATTTTCAAAATTTATCACTTCACTTGTATTTGATGTTGTTGTAATTAAATTCTTATCACCAACATATTATTCCTTTAAAAATTGATTTCTTGGTTTTTATTAATTCCTAAGAATTTTATTTTTTTTTTCGAAACTATTTGAAATATTTTCTTTTATTTTTTGTATTGCAATGATTTATGTTTTCAAACTCTCTCCTGGTTTGTTTGGTTTGGTGATATTGAACTTCACTCTTTGAAAACAAATCTCTTACTGATCGCCTAACACACGCAGTGCTCGTAATATATTTGTATTCTTAGTTCAAGAACAACATCATCACGGCCCGAGATGTGATGAGGAAGGAAGGTAGAAAACCGACAAAAAAGAAATGTGTGGCGTCGGCGGTGTTGGTGGCGGCTGCGCACATGCATACATACACACACACACACCGGGCACCAAAAACAAAACACACAAACAAATAAGGCTGATCGTATTCACTAAGGCATCCCATTGCTACAAACGGATCAAAGGCACATTAACACACAGAAGTAGATAGGCACACACACACACCATCGCACTTTCACACTGAACTCATAAAACTTCTACTCACAGTTCTCGGATAAACCTTAATGTATGTATGGATGTGCGCCAGCAGCAACAACAACATCGACCGCACCAGCATTAGCCTTTGCATTGATACGCTTTAAGGGTATCTTCTTGTTAATATAATCTGCTCCAAAAGATCGCAAGCCTATCATCATAAGGCGCAGGCGTATCCACCGCTCTGGTCGAACAAAACAACAATTCACTGCCACACATTTATGGGGGAGAGTTGTGTGTGTTGTCTTTATGGAGCATTTCTTAAAAAACAGTCACACACACTAACACACTTATGTTCTGCTTTTCGTTTGTTTGCTCTTTTGGAGCTGGATTTTTTGTCTTCATCTGCATACCGTAAAGAATCCAACAAATATTGCAACATAACTAAAGCTCTGGGTTTGTCTTCTACCCCTTATCTTTGTGGTTCTACACAACTTTGTTGGCATTCTTTTTGTATTCCCCTTTTGGAAATGTAAATAAAATTGTATCGAAAGTAAATTTTATTTGGCACAGTTCACAGTGTTTTGCAAAGTGTCTGGCAAAATAAAATACTATAAGAAATGCGGAACCATATTTATAAATGTAGGTATATCTTTTTAGAGTCAAATATTCAATAATATTGTAGTTTCAAGTATAAGTATTCCAAATCTAATCCGTTGTAAACTTTTTATCGAAACCTCTACTCAGTCGGTTTTGAGAAACGACACTTGGCCAGGCTAAGGCAAGGCACCAATCAATGATCTTGAATTTTCTAGTTAACTTTAAAATAATAAATTGAGATACGAAAAGCTCTTAGGTGGCTATCACAAGATCCTAGAATTGTAATGTGTAATACAATTATATTATTGTGTCCTGTATCGATCTACTCGTACCTTGCATAAGTCTTAAACCTCCTACGACCAATTTTTATTTTATTTGGGTATCAATTGAGTTTATATGCAATGATGTTTTCAATGACCGAGTCCAAGTTTATATAGTAAAATGAAAAAACAGTTTAAGAGGTATTTGTATGGGAGTGATGTACAAATCATAAACCTAAATCGAAAGATTATGGAAAGAAGTTTTTATTCACAAAATTATAGCCACTTCAGAGTACCGAAAATGGCGTTATGTCAAAAAATTGAAATGCAAACATATTCGGCGGGAAAGGGTTGTAAACCTTAAAAGTAGGCAGGAACGATGAAACCTTTATATGGGGGATATGTCCAAACATGTACCTATGTAGACAATTGTCCTGAAAAATATATCCTACCCTACAAGAACCTAGAGAATACGTCTAAAATCTTCAAAGTAAAGAATATAGACCAGTACTTTAATATGAGAATTATGTGCAACGAAATAGACCCATCGTTCCTTTCGAGAATATGCATATAATCACTTTCTGAGTCAATTTAAGCATGTTCGTCTATCTGATCATTTAAATCGATTGTGCACAACACTGAATTAAGTACAGATTCGTCAATCTGAAGTTTTGTTGAAATCGGTTCAGATTTAGATATAGCCCCCATATATATATTTATATACTTCCAAAGTGCTTACGATTGAAAAAGACCACATATTTAATTTCATCCGATGTCATGGTCCTTGAAAAATAATACGTCTGTTGCAATAAACATCTTAGTAGCATCTTTTGTATGCAACCAAAGTGGTGAAGGGAAAAATATAGTCGGCCGACTATTCTTCTTTCCTTACTGGTTTTTAATATATGCTATATTTACACTTTCTAAAAAAATCGGAAAACCAAATTGGTCCGACTCAGTGGAGAAATATTATGTTTCGGATGAATTAAAGTTTAATTTTTAAGGCTCAGACTCGAAAAAATTTGCGGTGAGAAGGCCTAAAAATTAAAGACTCCGGCCTCTGTATTACTTGGGACTCTGAAGCATGGAGTTCGACCTATTTACGAGATTTATGAAGTAACGGAAACATGTCAAAGACAGGTTACGGGAATAAAATTTCGGGATTTTATAATGTCCATCTCAATCATCAGATCTTTACCCTATAGAAAAATGTTTGGAGTCAAAAGAGATTCAAAAACAAACATAACCTCTTCCCAAAGGATCAGGCTGGTATAGTATATCAAAACGATCAAATTGATTGCTGTTGTTGTTTTTTTTAATTAAACAAATGTTTACTATAACTTTATTTTTTTAAAAAGTTACAGTTCATTTATTCAGTGTGCATTTTCAGTAGCTTTAGTTCTGGCCACCAGTGTATATGCTTGAAACACTGAATGATAATATTTGTACATCAGTTTGGATACTGTGTGCATGAAAATGTCTAAAGAAATTCAATAAGGACACATAATTCGTAGAAATATACGAAGTCCAATCTTTTGATGTTTCTCTTTCCTTTCTAGAGCGGACAACAGGTCTTTTAGTGTAATTTAGAATAAATCGAGGACTCCATTTATTATTCAAATTATTTTAATTGGATGTCGAATCACTTCATTTCAGATCATTACATTTAACTTATGAGAGAATTTTCAAAAACAATTATATAACCATTCTATCAAATATGCTCATAGTACGAATTTCCAAACATCCAGTTGTTAATCCATCTCTATATAGCAAATTTCAAGACTTTAATTTAATTCGCCCACTCAAATTTGTAGATGCGACTCTACAGATAATTGCAAGTGTCGGGAGCAAACACTGTACTTCAAATTATGAAATAAATTGTAAATTTTTTACCACAAATAGTATTAGCATGTAGCATTATCTTGTAATGATTTTAAAGTAATACATTATAGTTTTTGGTAAAACATCATTAATAGAAAAAATATGAAGTCTCAATAAATCAATTAAATGAAAATCGCCCACTCAATACCAATTTTATTTATTTTATCGTCATGTAGAATATTTCGTCAAGGAGTCGTTTTCAAGCTGTATTAGTTCAAACAACCCCAAACAAAATTGGCTTTTATTTCCCATTTTAGTATACCTAATAAATTTGGGTATTTTGTGGAGTGTAGTCATGTTTCTCCATCAGATTGCATGTAATTCAGTATTTTGTATTCTCTTTGGGTAGCAACTCTTTCTGCCGAAAAATATAAATAATGGTAAATTCTTAACTGGGAATTCTCTAACAAATTGCATATTTACATTTTCAGTATGAAAATAAACGATACCACTGTCTCGCCTAGTGATCTCCTGATTCGCTTTTTTTTTGCATCGCTTGGCAAAATAAAGGTTAGGGAGAAGACACATGTGCGCGCACACTCACACACATACTCGCCTTTTCTCATATTTGTATCAGTTTTCTGACCATTGTATCTGAGATAGTCGCCACAGTTAGAGGTTTTCGTTGTCTGGTCTGTCGGTCGTCCGGCCGGCCGGCCAGTCGAAGGAGTGACATAAGCTAAAATATATGCATGAATGCAGCATTCGGCGGCAGGCTGGGCAACAGGCGCGTAGTTTTTGTTGTCTTCTTTTTGAATGTGGAATATTTACAACACGTAAGAAATCGTAAACAAACCGATAATAATTGTTTTCACCTTTTCCATTGTTGTCGGTCCGAATGTCGGTTGTAGTCGCCACTCTACTACAACTTGCATCACTTGTCTGCGAGTCCAATGCCATTCCTGGTGGTTTCTGCTTTTTTTATTTTACATTTTGCAAATACGCGCCAGATTATTCAAAGGGGGAGAGTGTGCGGTTTGGTCGGAGGATTTAAGCGCCACATTTTTCTTAGAAGCGGAGCAACAGAGTTTCATTGTTAAAAATTTTTGTCTGCAAAAATTGGTAAGGTTGTAAATATGCAAACAGTGAGAGAAATTTGTATTTTACATATTTTTTTTTACAGATAAAAATCTACTCAATACAATTTAAAAGAACATAGGCAGAAGACCTTATATAATCTTTTGACGTTTTTGTATGCCTCTTGTATGAAGAGGATTTAGTAAGTATCGTACAGATACATTAATATAATATAGGCCTCATAAGATTGGAAGATCTACTATATGATCTATAGATAGATCTATAGGATCTATATATAGAAGATCTCACATAGGTTTTCTATAAGTAGAAAACATTCCACATATATTCTTCAAATATTTTGTACGGATCATAAATAGCTATAATTACTTCTAGATATCTTATAAATATATAATACTTTCTTTTCGATTGTCATCGTAGATGATTGTCATATAGATGACCTTTAATATATGCATAAGTATTTTTTGGTTTGAAGCTATTCTATATATCTTCTATAGATAGAAGCATAGGTTTTCTATAAATATAAATCTTTCTAAATTGCTTCTGTAGGTAAACGATTTTCAAGTATTCGGGTATGTTCT